GGGCAATGATAGTTCCCTTCCTGCTGGTGCACAGGCATCTCATGGAGCCAGGACAACATCCAGCAAAGAAAAGGGACTTTCCTTTTCTTTATAGCGAAGTTCCATAACTTCCAGTATACATTTTCCTTGGTCCAGTGTGCTAATTTTGCATTAAATGCCCATGCTTAACCCATTCACAAGCAAAGACTAGGATTACCATGACTAGCTTCTCCCACAGGTGAGAAAAGTTCTCTGCTCAGGCAGTGAGATGGTGAATATCTGAACTGCGAGAACAAATGGGACATGGGTGATGGATATATTGGGTCAGTAACCGACAGTGCACCTCACTGACATTTTAGGTAATAATGGTTTTAATTTTAATGTTAATGTTTCTGTGCTTTATTGTATTACCCAAGTAAGTATTAATTATCTTTGTCCACAGTGACAGAATTATCCTGGTATGCTTTTTACAGACAAAAATTTATCTTGGGGTGAAAAGTTTATCCTAGAGTCTTCTTTTCCCCATTCCTATACAACTGGAAAACACACAGTCACCAATCCAAATGTTTTCACAAAAACAGCCTTATTCATCTCAGTTCACTGCTGTCAATTATGTAGTTAATATTTTACATTTTATATTATTTTACAGCAGAACTGAATTGAAATGTAAGTAGAGACCTGGTTTTCAAATGTGTTTTCTGCTTCTTCCTGAAATAAGAAATGACAAAATATTGTTGCATATTATTGCATAATCACTTTGTGATTAGTAATAACTGTCCCGAAGTTTTTATTTTATTTCAGGGTGCGTGTGTTTCTCAGTGGTAAAATGCTTGCCTACTATTTGTTTGGTCATGGGTTTGATCCCAAACATTACAAGGGTGGGGGGGAGCTTTATTTCAAGAAAAATTTCTGTTATATAATCACTGAGTGGTCAAGGACATAGACTATGAGATGGCTAAAGAACTTAACTCAGTCATTGGAACCCATTTGGCAATAATCTGACAATAGGCTTCATCTGCAAAATGAGGAAATAATCATACAAAGTTGATTGTATATCAAAATATACAATGATATACAATGTAATTTAAATATATATTATATATCAAAATATGCAATGAATATTTAAATTAAACATTTTATTTGTAGTAAATGACACATTACCATCAGTTCGCCTCCCCCTTGCTTTGAACACTTTTATCCCATTGCTCTTTCCACTTTCTAAACCAGTTCTAGAAGTCCTCTTTCATGAGTGTCCTTATGAAGTGTGATCAAAAAACTTGGTGAATAGTACTTCCAAGTGTCATACAACAGGAAGACAGTCTAATAAAGATTATAGCATGTCTTTATCCACTTTGTTCTCTGAATCTAGTGCCATGTGAGTCCTGGATACTCCCCAAAATCAAAATGACTGCAAAAGTTAAAAATTTTGAGTCATTTCAGAACATTAAAGCAGCCACAACAATGCCACAGAAGATATTCACTGTACAGGACTTCAAGAACTGCTTCAGAAAGTGGCAAGAATGAAGTAATAAAGGTGTTCCAAGTAAGGGAGAGTATTTTGAGGCAGATGAATAGCAATGTGACTTTCACTGTAATGCATTTTTATTTAAACATTTACTGTATTCTTATCACACCTTGTACCCACTTCGAAGACTTGCTGTAAAATTTGAATAATATTAATTAATATGTGTATATACTATGTATATATTCATACTTACAGCAGCTAATACACAGAAATCATCCAACACCTTTTGACTATTTTTACCTATTATAATGTTAATGAAAATCCATAAATATCTACATTAATGCTTTCATATGCAAGATAGTTTCAAATCAAACTCACACCTTTCAGAAATAACTAGTCTGGAGAACAAAATATAAGGTGTGTCATATAATTCATACTACAGTTTCATGAAAAGTCCCGTGCCTCCAAAGATTTTTCCTCTTGGCTCAATGCAGGTCAAAACTTAAAAGCACAGTGACGACTTAACTGTCTATAAACACTCAGAATTCCACTATCCATACATCTAGTTAGGCAACCAAAGGCAGCAAGCAATCCACCTCTCAAGAACCAGGAGGAAGCAGGTTAATTAGGTGTCACTTCCTTGATTATTGTCCTGGAAAGCTATATGCTCTCTATACAAGCTAAAATTACATGAAGTCAGAATGAGCATTGCATGTGAATATAGGCATCCATTCTTTAACAAAAAAAAACCTATCTCCTTCATAAAATATTTACATTTCCTTTTAAAAAATCTGTATATCATGTTTTGCAATAAGGAAACTTTCAGTAAGTATCTCGTCTTAGAGAAATAGCTTGCCAGCTTGAGCCCTGCTTACATTCTCCTGGCCATATTTTGTGTGTAACTCTTAATTAATTGTGGAAAACTCTCCTATGAGAGGACATGGTAGAGGAATCCTACAAGAAGCACTTTGAGACCATGAAGTCTAATTTCTGAATCTAGGACCCTGTGTTGCAGGTAGTCAGTCCAACCCTCATTTAAATAAACTAGAATTTTTTTGAAATATTTCCAGATATCTCAGCAGCAGTAAATACCAATATTTGAAGAGTCCCGAGGTAATGAACCTCAAAGGATTCCTGACAGCAGAGTCACACAGCACCAAATCTCTCTTCTTTTTCTTGCTTCTTTGTCTCCCTAAATAGTGACTTCCTTCTCTTGGACACTGCAGATTAACTTTCTGCAAATGAGGGAAAGCACAGCCATCATTGATATTCTACTATGATAGCTTAGGTGACTATGAAGAACAAGACTGACCCTTCCATTTCCAATTCCAAACTCGTGGAGAAAGACCCTGATAGGCCTAGTTTGGAGTAGATGAGCTCGCACAAAGATGTAGAATGCCCCCTGGATCCATTTGAATAAGGTGCCCAGTCAACCCCAGCCTACAATCTGTATCATATTGTGCTAATATGTTGGTTCCAGTGGTTGAGAAAGACCGGGTGTGGCATCCTCTGCAGAAGCGGTCCTGGCTTGACTTTTCCCTAGATGCTTATTGCATGGGTGCATTGGGAAGACAATGCAAGGAAATAGATGGTTCTCACTGTCCTTTTGCCATTAAAGTCTGCCTGTGACCCCTGAGAATTTCCAGCTCAGAGTGTTCATTTACACTTAGGAAATCCAGAATGGAGGGAAGGGCTTGGTGTTGGACGTGAAAGGAGCAAGCAGAGGGACGGGAAAGAGGGCACAGCAGCGAAGCATCACCAATATGAAGCAGAGGGCTCTGGACCTCCCACTTCTTCACAGATTAAATCCTTATGCTTCTCCCAGCCGCCTCTCTCTTCTCTCCTGCCTTACACCTCTTTTTAATATTTTCTCCCATCACGTTTAAAATGAAGTCCTTCTGTTTTACTTACAAGACGTTAGTTCTCTTCCAGAGAAGCAGTACAATACTTGAGGCAAAAAAAAAAAAACCCAAAAAAACAGAACTGAATTAAGACAGAGTTTTTCCCTGCAGAAAGGTGCTGTATACATATGTCTTATCGTTCTTTTGCTTAGAAGACAGTTTGAGGGTGAAATAGATTGACCTTCAGGGCCATCCAGTCCATCTTTGCTGTGTTCATATACCCAATCTCTGCTATCAGGTCATCCAAGCTGTTGATTACTTACCAAACCAGAACTCACCTCTTTTAAGAAGAGACCATTCTATCTTTAGACAGTTCTAGTGAAGTGCTACTTCTATTAAGCTCCAATTGGCTGAAAAAAAATCTGTCCTTTCTTGTAGCTTCCACCTATTGGTCCAAGTTCTACCACCTAGAAACAGAAAGTTCTAATATTATTCTTTCATGCTTGCCTTTCCAGTTCATGTCCACCTCATTTCTTCCGACGGTCGTTCTCCAGGTTAAGCCACTGTTCTTCCTGTACCTCTTCTCTGTCTTACAGGATTTCAAGTCCCTCTGTTAATCTGAGCACTATGTTTAATAAACTTTACTCAATGTTCCTCTTCATCCCCTCCCACAAATAACTGGGCAGAATCTCCCAGATAGGAAAACAGGAGCACAGAAAGAGCATCATTAATAACCTCTTTTAATAGAGATATCGACCTTCTATTCAAGAAAATCACATTGACCTTTTTTGAAAGGCCAAACTTATGCTTAGTCTCTCTCACGCTAAAAGTTAAATAGTTAATTTATAATGAATTTTAAATAATAAAAAGGATTCAAAATTTACAAGTGTCTGGAGGAAATAAGTGTTCATGTGAGAATGTCAAGCATCAGTAGTTAAAATTGGAGTGACAGTGGGGTTGGAGCAATTCATGAATTCCTATAACTCTTCAAATCCCATGTGTGCTTTACTTCCTATTGAAATACTGACATGATCCAATAAGTCAAAAATATTGGGAAGACTAAATCCATACTAAGGGATCATTTGATTCTTTCCTTTCTCATTATAAAATACCTAATGTATTTAATGATTTTATATCATAGTATACATATATAAAGGGCTCTAGGATAAGAGCCCCAGGGAGCACCCTACCTTTCAAGAGCTAACAATTTAGAAGCTATAAGAAAAGTCCTTTGCTACCTTCACTGAAAGAAGCTGTGTATCAGGAAAGCAAGAGTTACCACATTAGATTTCATCACCTTGTTAGCCTCAAAAAAGTTCAGTCTAGTGAGTTCAGATATAATTCTAACCCCATTTGGTTACCAACAGGAAAGAAATTCAAATCTGTAGACAATTTGAAACTGTATCATGCAATGTAGGAAATAAATTCAAGATTCATTAGAGCAAGAATGTTTAACTTCATCTATACTATGTTCACATTTAGCAAGTTACTAAAGAGATCCCAGTCTCAGTACCAATTATGCCTCTTCTGAATATCATGTTAATAAATAAAGAGGACATATCTTTACTTTAGGATAAAAGAAAAACTTCATGATCCTTGCAGTACATTGGATAATCGGGAAAACTTCAGGCTTAGTTGTTCTCTCCATATACAAAGGCAGAATTACCTGTTCTCCGATTGCCTTACTTATACAAAAGTTTTCATTTCTCCAACAGGTTGTTTGGCTTCTACAAGGGAATTCTGCCACCCATCTTAGCAGAAACCCCCAAAAGAGCAGTAAAGGTAAGGACTGTGTGCCTTCTCGCCAAGGGAAAATAAGGTGCAGTGATAGCTTCAGCATTAAAATACCCCCCAGTAAACAAGGGGACACTAAGGTGACCTAAACATAAAACACTAGAATTTGTAATGCAGAAATTACAGCACAATTTTTATTGTAATCAAGATTTGGCCAATCCCTCAAATATGTATACTGGCTTGTAGATTGTTTTTCAGGTAAAAGTACTCCCTTTTAATGAGGAAATTATACAAAAGCACAGTGGTGAATGAAATTCATGTAATCAAACCACAGAAGCCACAAAATAGCTTGGACCTTTTCTCAAAGCAATTCAGAAATTTTCCTTTGGAGCAATAATTGTTGAAGGGGAGAGGTAGAAAAACCTTCCTGCCTAAGTAATTTCCATTTTATGAAATACACTGTATTTCTTTGTATATGATTACTGTATAGCATATTTGCTTGGCCTGTGAACTTTATTTTCCCCTGGTCTCCCCTGTTAAAATTCTCTGTTCCGGTGCTTACAGGATTATTGTCTCCACTGTCCTGATTTCTATTTCTTTAACCACATGAGTGTGGAAGTTTATGTATTTCTTGCCGGTTCAGTATCTGTAAAGGACTAGGGAAATGGGGCAGAACTTCCACAGATGAAAGAACTACATCTGCACACTTTTCGTACATTCTCAAACAAAAATCCTGATTACAGTGGGTCTGACTGGCATTGCTCCCCTGCCCCCCAACACTGACAGCACCAAATATGGCTTTGACTTTACATAAAAATAACAGACTCGATGACTTCCTTTCCAACTTTCTGTCATGTTATAATGACATAAAGCCTTTTTCATATATATTACTGAATTTATATTCCCAATATTCCTGAAAGGCAAGAAGGAACAGCTTAAATACTTTTACTGAATAAGTCCAGGGCAGGAGGGACTGGGCTGAAAATTATAGTGAAATAACCGACTGTATATACAAACACTGACTTTTTACATTACATAAAAAAGTAATTTAATAGAATATAATTCAGATCTGCAGTTCAGAAAACAAACCTTTAAAACATACTTTCTCTATAGATCTTTCTCTCTCTCTTTGTTGCAAAAGTTTTTATGATTTTTATATTATTACTTGAGTACAAATTTCATTATAAGGATCTGAATCACTGTAGAAAATCTGGAAAAAGTTCACCACAGTACACAAAAGGGCTGAATTGAATTATGAAATGGCTTCACTTGATAAAAGATTGCCCGAGTAAACAGATAGAACAGAGCTCTTGCTCAAAAGGAAAGTCACTTTGTCTCCGTGGAATAATATATTCATTTGTGCAGTGTTTTACATGTATAAATAAAGTAAATTATAATTAGTGTTTCCTGGAATATGTTTTCTTAATACTACATATTGGAGACATTTTAAACTATAAGAGGACTAAGGTTTATCAAAATTGAAGAATCTTTTGCAGAGAAAAAAGTTGAACTTTACAAAACTAAGTTAGTCTGTACAAAAAAAAAAAAAAGCAGTGCTCTGTGCCAGAACAATGGTTAACAGATGAACTTTTGGGCAACTGGATATGGTGTGTGAGTCCCAGACATCTTGTTTCAAGTAGATTTTACCTTAAAATTATGGAGACATATGGTAAGTGTGTTGCCTTTTTTAAGTACAACTTGGAGTTAAGTGTATCTTTGCCAGATGGATAGCACTAGTTTTTCAACACAATGTATGAAAACATTAACTTTATAGATATTTATCTTAGAATTGTGAGGAAAGCAATTACCTGATTCTAATGATTTCATACATCATAAACTGCTTCATTGTCATCCAAGTTTACTTCAGAAAAAAAAATTCTGAGACTGTGTGGTTATGTGTGCATGAGTGTGTGGAGGGGTGTGTGTTGTGTATTTGTTGGTGCGGACCTTCAGTTATAACTGTTACCCTAATGCAAAACAGACAGTTTTAACTTTGTACTTTATTCTTTGAGATCAGATTAATTGTTATAATAATGTGGTTCATTGATGATAAGGAAGTGATGAAACTTCTTTCATACATCAAGGCAGAATTAGCATTGCAATTAGTGAAATAAAAACCTAAGAACGAGGCCAACTGCTCTTGACAGACAGAAAACACCAGGTTCCATGAGGAACCAGGTTTGGAGGACTAGTTTTGAGCCTCCTGTGTCTAGAAATACCATTTTGTCACGTTCCAATTATCGAAGGCTGCCTTATGCTAACCAAACTCATGACAGATTATAAACCTCGAAGGCTATTTGCTCACTACTGTATACCTACACTTACTATGGTGTCTACACATAGTACATTTTCAACCAAATAAATGAAACACATGTAGAGAAGAAACAGAAAGAAAATAAGACATTAGGCAGTGAAAGACAATAATTTCTGAGAGAGGAGAAACAAATGAGATTAGCCATGTAAAGGCCCTAGCAGACTCCCTTGAGAATGTTTCTAGGTCTGGCAAGGAAGGGAAGTAAAGGCAGGGTCCCATGGACTCCCTGGGTAATGAAGGAATGAGGAGGCCGGGGAGAGCAGGACAGAGTAGCAGAGCAGAGCAAGCTGCATGTAGAGGACATCTGAGATCTGCACAGAGACCCCTCAAGTACTTTGTGGGCCACTGACCAGTGAGAGCGAACAAGGCCTGGGAGTGGACTGCCCAAGAAGAGGAGATGGACAATGCCTAGCAGTCACAGGGCTCAAAATAGTGCCTGTACCCAACGGCCACCCTGGAAAACCTCAACACTCAATGGGCATTTTGAGACATGCTCAGAAAGTCTTCCCTCCAGAGTGGGGAAGAATTAGCCCTGGACTGAGCCACTATTTAAGCTCTACTTGTTAAACAGCCAAACTGCATCCCAGAACAGAGTATCTGGGACATGGTGCTGATCATCAGATTGGCCACGGGGCATAGATTAAAGGAAAAGCAGAGAACTGCCTCAGCCAAGCAAAGTGTAGCCATGTCCCTTGCACTCCCACACTTCTCCATTCAATCCAGCAAGATAACCATTTTCGAGATACCCATATAGGTAAGATATAGTGTAATTAATGTATGCTCCAGATTTTATGCTCGATGATCCTAAAACATTGATTGAATATGGTTGTATTCAAAATTGCAGGATTTTGGAAGTAGCTTTTATGTTGATGTTCTGAATTCCATCCTTTGAGTGGAACCTCATATCTTATATGACAGATTACTTTTACCAATCTCTGCGTTAACTAATGCTGTGGCTGAGAAATTATTAAGAAATACTATGAAAGCCATAAAAGAATAGCACTGTATGGGGAGGGATTAAAATACCAGTCACTAGTCTTTAAGAATATAATTTTAAACATGATAGACATGCAATACAAAATGGGCTGAATGAACGTTTTTAATAACTATTGATTTCAAATACAGTGAAGACATTTGTCTTATTTCACTATTGTTGAAAATCCACTTTAGAAGATTTCAACTTTTCTATTTTTGAGATATTGTTTTATTTGATATTCAACTAGATTTGTGTGCAAAAGTAGTAATAAAATACATTTCAGTCTAAGTATTGTTTAACTGAATATGTCATAATATACTGTTCATCACTTTTGAACTTAACACATTAACAATTTATCATGGTGACCTGTAGGGCTTTTCTATTCGCAGGATCCTGAATCATTTCACCCTAGCCATTCACCTAAAGCTTCCATAAAGACTGCTGATGGTAGCTAGGTATGGTGGTGTATGCTCGCAAGCCCAGCACTCTAGGAGGCTAACCTAGGGGGCTCACAAGTTAAAGACCACCCTAGGCAATTTAACAACTTAGGGAGACCCTATCCCAAAGTATAAAATAAGGACTGGAGATATAGCTCAGTGCAAAAGCCCTGGGTCTCATGTGTAGTGCCAAAACAACAACAACAAAAATTGTTTTAAGAAAACAGCAAAAAAAACTGTAAAATTTTATTTACAGCTTCTAGTACATATCTCATCAAAACTTACACCATTCGCTAGAGTGTGAATCCAGTAAGGCGGGGGTTTCGGCTTTGTTTGTTGCATTCCAGTGCCTAGATGAAAGCAATCTAATAAATGTTTATTATACAAGTGAAGGAGTGGGTCCCTGACCTAGAAAAGTCTACATGCATAGCTGATCAAAAAGATGACAGTGTTAAAGGGAATTTTTGATTCTTCAAAAATCCAAAATCCATCTGGTGGTATAATGTCTCTTGTGCTGTCCAAACACTCCTTACGACCATGTCTATAAGGAACTACCTCTTTTTAATATCAGAGTATGTTTCGGCCTCCAAACTTGTACTGTTCTTTCTTGCCATATATTACTGGGGTTTAAAGTAATAGAGTAGGGGCTGGGGATTTAGCTCAGCAGCAAAGTGCCTGCCTGGCAAGCACAAGGTTGTGAGTTTGGTTCCTGGTACCGGAGAAAAACCAAAAAATAAAAAAAAAATTTAAAAAAAATAAAGTAATAGAGTAGCAGACTTTTGCTTTTCCAAGCCATTCCTTTGGTCTTGACAATAATACTTGGCATGCCCTAAGCCTGTGCCTTATCAGTGATATACCCAACCATTAATCAGGAGCAAAAATCATTTTCAAGCAGAGCTGTTTCCCAAAATCTGGAATATAGAAAGGGGGGGATCTATTATATAAAGCAATTTATTAGGTTTGCCTCCATGGAGATTTGCAGAGAAAATAATATGAAGTATAGTCTTCTATAAAATGTGTGAAGCTCTTAAAGACATTGATACAGACAAGAACTTTCTTAAGAGAACCCTGATTGCACAGAATCATAACAAAAATCAGTGAGTGGGAGTATATCAAATTAAAAAGCTTCTGCACAGTAAACAACCAACAATGTGAAGAGACAACCTAGAGGATGGGAAAAAATGATCAGACACTCAATGAATAGAAGACTGATATATAGACTATAAAGAATGCAGAAACTTAGACCCCCCCAAGTAAAAGATCCATTAAAAACGGGCAATTTAAATGAACAGACACTTCTCAAAAGAAGAAATACAAATGCCTAGTAAGTACATGAAAAAATATTTTTAGCATCTTTGGCCATTAGAAAAATACAATTTGAAACAACACTGAGATTCCTTCTTACCTCAGTATAAGAATGACTATCACTGAGTACTCAAAGAACAACAATTGTTGGCGAGACCAAGAAGAGAAAAGAAACCTTTCTATATTGTTGGTGAGAATGTAAACTAGTGCAACTACTGTGGAAATCAGTGTGGAGATCCCTCAAAAATCTAAAAATAGAAATTCCAACTGATCCAGCTATTCCTTTTCTGGGTATCTTCCCAAAAAGAGTTGAAGTCCTCATCCTCCAGTGATTATATATATATATACATATATATATATATATTCTCATATATTATATATTCATATTTAGCAGCACAATTCACAATAGCTAAATTATGGGAGTGGCCTATATGCCCATCAACATATGAGTGGATGAGGAAAATGAGATAGATAGATGATAGATAGATAGATGAGAGTTGATAGATCACATATAAATGTGGTATATAATGGAGTACTACTCAGCTATAATGTATAAATGGGAGTCATTTGTAGGAAAAGGGATGGATTTTAAGACAATAATGCTAAGTGAGATCAATTAGAAATGATAAATATTGCATGGCTTCATCTATATGAGATACCCAAAATATAAAAACGTTAAGGAGCAAAATAAAAGAGAAATGGTGAGGAAACAGGGAGGTGGACTTTGTGGAGATGAGAAGGGGATCTGGTGAAGAGGAGAGGAGAGGAGAGTGGGAACGGAGGTAAAAATGATCACCATGCATGTGTATATGTACCTATTCCCCAAGCTGAATGTAATTACTATGTATTGCAAACATACATGAATGATGAAAACATCCTCTGATGGAATTAACAGTATCTTTGTCATCAAGGTCATCATCAGATTTTAAAGGAAGGAGTAAGCAGCTCTCTCTCTCTTTTTTTTTAACTTTTTTTTTTTTTTTTTGGTTTTTCTCCGGTACCGGGAACTGAACTCACGACCTCGCGTTTGCCAGGCAGGCGCTTTTGCCGCTGAGCTAAATCCCCAGCCCCAGCTCTCTCTCTCTTGATTCTAGTCAAGGACAATCTTGCTCTAAGGCAAGAGGTGGACTAGATAACCTCTGGGTCTTTCCTGGTTTATTGTGGTATTTTCAAACCATTTAATGTTTAAATTCCATGGAACAGTTAGGAGACACAGCAATATAAATGCAAGTTAAAGCTGAGAAACGGATGTGTTTTAGAAGTGTGTTAGAAAATTGGGCATTTTCTGGGAAAGCAGCTCATAGAGAAAACATAGAAGACCAAAGATTTCAGGTCTCTGTGCCTATAATTTTGAATCACTGCCATAAAAAAGAAGTCTATTGATGTCTGGGGAAACTGAAAATGGTCATGGTAAATGGAAGTTGTATGGTTCATTTACTGCTATAAAGGATTCCATCAGCTCTTCTGTAGGTTATTATAACTGAATTTGAAAAATGTGAATGTTAAAATAAGATCCAAAAGCAACTACCCAAGGCAGGGTTTATAACAATGTTAGATAGTTTGTCATTTTTTTAAATGCTGGTTAATACATGGTTTACTAAAGAAATCTTAGTCAATTAGAGAGTTCGTTGCAGGAAATTGTTATAAATCTCTGGGTTTGGTTTTGTTTCACAGTTTTTCACCTTTGAACAGTACAAGAAATTGCTAGGATATGTGTCACTGTCACCAGGATTGGTAAGTGAGAGTATTTATTATACTTAAGTGTGTGTGCTATTTCATAAAGCAAAATCTAGAAACAAAAACCCTTTTGATTCCCCAAGCTCAGCTACTAAAATATGAATTTGAGTTATTCAATGTTCAGCTACTTGTTGAAAGCCATCTTCCTAATAACTCACAATTTGGCTATTTTATAGCTCCCAGTGATGAATTTATGATAATAACAATATGTCTGGAAAGCCCTATATGAGATATGGTCAAGAATATAAAATAAAGAGTACATTTATCAAAGATTTTATTAAAACCAAAACATGCATATGTTTACATACACACTGCATATATCTATTTATGCAAAAGTCAGTATGCTTGAGATTATTTCCTAACAGGTCACTTTTCCAGCTGTTGCTCAAGCTATAGTAAATAAAGATTTCAAGTCACTTGGGATAAAATCACTCTGTGGTCAGGCACGGACTGAAGGGCCTTTTATAGGAATGATTGTAAACAACTCAGCCGGGGAGAATAGTGTTCTTACAATGGCATACCTCAAATATTGCACAAAATTCGCCTGGTGATTTGGACCCTTCACTGTGCCTCTCCTCTCTTCGGTGACTTTGCTGCCTTTTATAAAGTGACTCAAATTATTTGGCCAAAGGTACGTGCATCGAGAGCCTCAAAGAGAGAGAAAATGTATAAATTTCTTCTTGCAAATCTGTAAAATAAAAGAAGACAAAGTGCATTCTTGCTTTAATTTGCAAGTTACCCTCCTATCTTTGGGAAAATCTTCATTTCCCCCTTGAAATGTACCTCAAAACTCATAATGAGGGAAGGTTCTGAACTTCAACTCATTAATGTCCCTCTACTTATAGTGGAGTTCCATCTGATAAACCTATCATAGTGAAAATACAGTAAGTCAAACATGCAGTTAACACACCGGACCTACCAACCACCATACATTAGCAACACGAGAGTGTCTGTTCACCCTCCTAGTGGCATAGTGACTGGGAGCTATGGCTCACTGCCACTATTCATCGTGAGAGAGAGGATGGTGTCACATGTTGCTAACCTGGAAAAGACAAAATTTCAAAATACAAAGTATGAAATGCGTGTCAATTCAGCAGCATCATAAAGTCAAAAACTTGCAGGTTGAACCAGTCCATCAGTACTTTACCTGCAAACATTCCTTTCGGAATATTTACTCTGCCAAGTAGATGGTCTCCAAAATGTTATTTTTAAAATCATGCACACTCCTTTTCTAGAAAAGCTCCCATTGAGAAACCCACTGCTATCACTTTCTGCTGTGATAAAGAGATCTCCTGGCCAGGCTCCTGCAGAAACAAGATGTCTATGAGGCATACTCTCTTAGAAAAGAGCGATTCTACCGTGAATCTCACAATTATGTTGAGGTTTTGTTTTTAATTCCATGGTGTCTTCCTTTAATATTATCCTTAACTTCAGAAACATCTTAGAAAAAGGAAGATTAAAAACTTCCTAGTGAGAAACAATAAAATATGGTCTCCAGAGGGCCATATGGCTGCTCTTGTGTTGAGCATTGGTACCGTGTGAGAGAGAGGCTGCAGGTCTCTCGACTCTTGAGAGTTGAAACAGAAAAGCATTTGGCCACTCTAGCTACTATAACCGAATGCGTGCACACTGTATACAGTTCTCCTCTTTTCTTGGACTCATTTTTTTATGCTTAACCATTAAATATGCCCTGGTGTTCACTTGAAAAGCTTAGAAGACTGGAAACCCAACAGTAAAGCATGTCTGCAACAGCCTAAGTAATATGATCTGCTGATAGCTGATCAATTCTTTTGACAAGGGACTGCTAAACACTATTCTGACAGCACATGTAGCTGAGCTTTATAGAAGAACAAAAAAGTGAATTACTTAGAAGACTGCATACAGTAAGTAATAAAAACCCAAACATCTGGATTTTACCTTCCACCGTCAGAAGAGCTAAGGACTTGGATATTTTTTTCTGCTTTTGTCTTCCATGATGGAAGTCTGAGATAAATGAATCATATACCTGATTAATTACCCGCTACAAATTATGCTTAAAATTGTAATGAAGTGGATTAAAAGGAAAACATACATCATGAGTTATTCGTTCTCTCTGAGAATCTGTGTGCAATACCACTCTTCCTCTTTTTCTATGTCCAACAAGAACAGTGATGTTTAAAAACCACTTTCACAGAGTTTTCATATATTTTGACCCTTGTAAAAATCAGTGGTACAAAAATGAGATATTATTTCTATTTTACAGATGAGAAAACTCTGGCTTATCAAGCATTCAGTGATTCATACACAGCCCAGCAAGGGAATTATGAGAAGTCCCCCCTTTCTCCTGACCAATGCTCTCCAGCGCTCTGGTTTGGCAAGTGGGGTGCAGGCTAGGCTTCAGTCCACACACCCTTGACTGAGCATGTTTGTCTGTGCACACTCTACTGTCCATGGCAGCTCTGATGAGAAAGCCAGAAAGACCCACAACTGGAACTGAAACTCACACCTCTCCGATCTGGATGTTCTTTTTTTCCACCCTACGTGATCCTTTAAGATTACGGAGTACCCCTTCCCCTTTTCTCTCTCTTCTCCTACTTTGAGATAGTAGAGACTCTTACTAAGAGTTAACTGTTCTTTTGTCTTCATTGGTTTTATTCTTCTCCTAGTTGTAGAAAGTAGAAACTCTTCTCCAAGATAATTAGCAGCAGAGAATTACTTCTTTCCAGCATCCATTTTGGAAGCTGGAGACTTTGCTTCATTCTGTTTTACAGACGAGTGCATGTGTGTGTGTTTTAACTGTCATGGTTATTTTGGGTACAGATTTTCTGGAAACCTCTTAAACATTTTACTGAAAAGATAATTCCACAAAATTATTACTTCCTTCTGCTGAAATTCTTAACTGACAGCTAATAAGAAACTGACATACAGTCATCTTTTGATAAATCTTTTAGATTTTAACTGAGCCCTTCAGAGCAATCTAACCATTTCTTATCTCACCTTTTGTTCCTCAACATTTAGGTCTAGAAACAGGACAATAATGTTCCTTTAAGGAAATAAAGAATGAGTACAATAAATTTTTGTTTACTAATAGTCTAGAATAGTGACTCTAGGAATATGATGGTATGTTTGAATGTGTCCAGCTATACTGTTTTTATTATCTGAAATTCAAATTTTTGAAAATATATTTGTGATTCTGTTCCTTGAATTTCTTTATATGTTCAATAAATGCATTTAAAGGGTGATTTAAAATGAAACTTCCAGAAAGAATGGCTATCATCAAGAAATCAACGTAACAAATGCTGGTGAGGCTGTGGGGAAAAGGAACACTTCTCCACTGTCAGTGGGAGTGTAGACTGGTACAATCACTGTTGAAATCAGTGTGGAGAGTCCTCAAAAAACTAGGATTAGAGGTCCCATTCGACCCAGTTATTCCCCTTCTGGGTATTTTTCCAGAAGAAATGAAAGCATCAGACCACAGCGATATACGTGCACTCATGTTTATAGCAGCACAATTTGTCATAGCTAAATCTTGGAAACAACCCAAATGTCCATCAACCGAGGAATGGATAAAAAAGATGTGGTATTTTTATACACTGGAGTACTACTCAGCTATAAAGAAAGATAAACTGAAGGTTTTTATAGGTGAAGGAATACAACTAGGAATGCACTCATAAGTGAAATAAATCATGTACAACATGAATCGCATGTACAAACATCATATTGTCTCCCTAGTGTAAGAACCTGAAAGCGTAAATAAGATCCAAAAGGTACAACAGATATAGTGAAAGGGAAAGAACTTGCTCAAAAGGAAAGGGCAATTGGGGTGGAGAAAAAGAGAAAAGAAGGGAGAAAAAAGATATGTATATATACACAAGATAGCTAAGATAACTGTACTACTAATTTCTGTTAGTTCACTGAAAACACCAGTTAATGCTTATATTGTTTTGTCAATTTTGCATGCTTATACCTAGTAATCTGAGCAACTACTTTGAGGATAACAATGTGCAATAGAAGAGTCATTGTTCGTTTGCTATCATTTTGTTTTGAACTTCTGTATCATTTTTATGGTTTTTTGTCTCTTTTGGTTTGTTTGCTTTTCCTTGTCTTTTTGTCTCTTTAAAATAAAAATAAAATAAAATGAAACTCATTTAACAATTTAAACTTTTAATGATCATATGTGCAGATGTTTCAGAATTCACCTTAAATCAATAAAATAACCTCTTCTTTTGTTAAAAGGAAAAGTAATTGTTGATGGAGCTTTGACATTTTATTTTGAAATTTTTAGGATGTGGTTTATGGCTTGTGTAATTTCTTCTTTGTGAATTGTCAGCATCTAATCAAGAGCTGAAGCTGTTTAGTAATGGTATATGGTGCACTTATGTAGGTTTCTCTGTTCTCCTCATAACCTTCTGCTCCACAGTGTAATGAATAGGATACTTAACCCAGTATGCACAGTCACTTGTTTTAAAGTATTGATTGATTTAATTGTTCTAGACATTTGCCATTGCTGGATTGGGATCTGGACTAACAGAAGCCATCGTGGTTAACCCTTTTGAGGTGGTAAAAGTTGGTTTGCAAGCCAATCGGAACGCATTCATAGAGGTAACCATTTAGCATTTTCCTATTGGTAAGGGACTGTAAAAAATGATTCTTAAGTATACAAATAAAATGATGAACACAACCCCTACCCAGTTATTAAAACCATAGTAAATTATTGTGGAGAGTAGCTTTACAAAAGTCCACTAACTTCTATAAGGAAAGTGTTAACAAAAGTGCACTAAGATCTTTTGGACAAACACACCTTTATACATTTTTATTTTAGAGTTCCAATATAATCTATAATGTCATATTTGGAAATGTTTGTATGGCTTTTGGCAAAACCTCTCTCACATTGCACTAGAATAGACTTCAGCAGACTCAGTGAGGTGATAATATCACTGTGCTTTTGAAAAATGAAGTCAGTTTTTTAAATGACCTCACTGCTTGCCCTACTCCACCCACCACCTCCCCAAAAGATTCTGACAATCTGCCAAAGTTGTCTCTTGGTTAAATCTGAATGAGCAAGTTACTAATCCTTGTAGATGTCACCATGTGGACTATGATGGGTCTTGACATTTAATCATTTGTACATGATGTTCCGTTCAGACAGCTTCCCTTGGTCTATGCTGCCTTCACTTCCTTCTACTTGCCTAATAATTCCCTTTAAACTGCCAACTCTAACTGCTTTCATTTTATTCTTCTGGATGCCAAGCACAAGGTAGGGACAAAACAAAAAGGTTGGCATTCCAAGTCCTTTCTTAGCATTTTAACTTAGTTGCACAACTGGATAGCATGTGGTATACATTGGTTTGGAGTATTGCTCACCTGCATTTTTCCATAGAAAAGTTCCCCTGCAAACTATTTAAGCAGCTGCTAATGGGTGGAGACCCCCTTTCCTTCACCCCACTTCCTGCTTGCTGATATTGCTTGAGAGCTTCCTGACAGCTTCTTGGGCAGGGGCATGGGGAAGGAAGGGGCCTTCCTTACCTGTAGCTGCCAAGATCTGGGATGGGGGAAGGGAGGAAGCTGGGGCAGGCTGCCACAGCAGATGGTATCTTTTCAGATAAAGTCCATCCTAATTCAAGGAATTGTTTTCTAAGTTTCAAAATGTTGTTCCAATCTCAGAGGAGGTTGAAAAACCTTGACGTACCTCTAATGTTTGTTGATGTTCTGCTCTCTCTGTTCTTTCTTGAATGATGGAAAATGTGGTGAGGGGTGGGAGGAAAGAAAAAATCTGCTTCAAATGTCCTATCAATACGGAGCATTTAAAATAGTTTCCATGGAGTCTGTCCAAGGAGTACTTGGTTTCATATAGGGAGAAGTATGAAGAGAAAATGTTGCTGCATCCAGTGCCTCCTTTTACTCACTGAGAAGGTTGGCGTGGAGTAGCAATGAATGGCAAAGGAAGGAGGTCTTCAGCTGCAGGTTTTCATCTAGGTAGCATTTCACCGCAGGGACACAAAAAAGGTCAGAGCACCACAAAACCTCACAGGAATGAAAACTGTAAGAGTTTTGCATGCCTCATGTTATTTTTCTCTCCTTTGCCCCCAAAGAGCTTCTACACTGAGGCCAAGTAAGCACTGTTAATGTTGCATGTGCTCACACCCTGCTAGAATATTATAAATAGCATGCCGGTCCAACTCAAGTACGTGCTGCATGTGTATGTGCTTCTGGTCCATTTACACAAGTGCAGTCTGTGTAAACTAGCTGTGTACTTCAAGCCATTTTCAAGTGGGGAATAAAGGGAGCTTGTTTGGGATTATTTTTTTTGCAGAATCAACTGAACTGGATATTGTCAGATACTTAGAATAAAATCTATTAGATTTTAAATATTTTAATATATCCTCAACAAATCGCAACCTAGCCTGTTGCAAAAAGAAGTCTGAGAAAGAGATAACATGATGAGAATTAAAAATTTGCATCTGATAATGGCTATTTTTGCTGCTGTTTCATAGGACTTTTGTCCAGGTCTCATTAATGCTGAAGCCTTCCTCCACTGACTGGTGTTTGTTTATATCCAACAAGGGGTTACCCTTTTGTTAATCTGTACCTGTGTGGTTTAATTCAAATATTAGGTACACTCGCTTCAACCTTTACAGGGCCAAGAGTAACTGTTTCCTTCACTCTAAGGCTTTGTAAGTTGGTGAGTACAAAAAAAGAAATGGAGGCGGAAGGAAGAAAAAGAGGAATAAAGTCATTAATTTAATGGCCATTGCATTTAAGGATTATACTTCCTTTTCATAATATTTTTATTCAACTATAAAATAAACGTGTGTATGTTAGAAAACAATGTATTTCTATATATGTGTAAGTGTATAAATGCACAAAAAAATAGATTCTAGAGCAGTGCTGGTTCAATAGAAACAATGTGAATCACATTTTCTAGTAGCTAGGTTTATTTATTTATTTATTTATTTGGGGTAGTTTTTTTTGAGACAAGAAATTGTTCTGTAGTTGAAGCTGGCCTTGAATGCACTATGTAGCCCAGGTTGGCCTCAAAGTAGCAGCAATCCTCCTGTTTCAGCCTCCCAAATACTGAGATTGCAGACATGTGCCACCCAGCCCAGCTGGCTAGGTCAAATCAATTTATTAAGATTTTAGTTAACCAAAAATATCCAAAGTGTTTTCTCTTGGAGACTTTATCTTTTAGAACAAGTTTAGATTCACAGCAAAATTGGAAAAAATACAGAAATTTCTTCTAAAAGCCTTTCCCCCCGTGGACATTAATTTCCCAATTATCAACATTCCCCACCAGATGTGCATTTGCAGTATATCTGATACAGTTGATGAACCTACATTGACATGTCACTACCGCCCGATGCCCACATTTATACTGTGCTTCCTTCTTGATGCTTTATGTTATATAGATTTAGGCAATTTATGACATGCGTTCACCACTAACCTGTCACATACAATGGTTTCACTGCCCAAAGAAGCCTCTGTGCTCTGCATATTCATGCTTTTCCTGCCATCTGGATCCTTGACAACCACGGATCTGTAACTGTCTCCATGATTTTCATTTCCACATGTAATCAATACAAAACCTATACTTTTTCCATGCTAAAAATTTCATATGTATTTTATGCTTACAGCACATCACATCTCAATTAGGTTATTTCAAGTGCTCAATAACCACAGATGTGTAGTGACTTCCACATCAAATAGTGAAGGCCTGAGGAATTCATAAGAAACTTCTAACTGAGGTTACCTCTATAGAGGAGGTTGGAATGGGGAGGGAGAGGTAAGAGAAGAGCTTTATATAGTCGTATGTTTTAACATAGAACATACTCATGTAGTGTCTGTGAACATTTACGTAAAGTATTAAAAGTATTACCTTCTCGTTGTAGAAAATTTAGAAAATACCTAGTATAAGATATATACTCCATAGAAGTGGTTTTAATGCCTCTGCCAGTGTCGTTCTCCATCTCTGGGGAAATCCTTCTCAGCTGATTGAATAAGGATGACTTGCTGGTCCATCTGAGGGCTTGACCCTTCTTAGTTCAGTTTTCATTATTTCACTTATACTATTAGGAACCCTATTTTTGTTTCTTCTTTCTAATCTTTGACAAAGTTTAGTCCTTCTAAAAATATTATTAAAGAACACATATAATCAGAGTTTCCTAGGGCAGGAAGACAGATGGAGCACAAGCAATATAGGTTCGAGGTTTGGGGAGACACACACCCACATTCCCATCATGCCTTCCACCATTACCACTTCCTAAGAGTGTGGTCTTGAACAGGGTATCCACAGGTCCTTCTCATTGGTAAATCAGTGGTGATCTATCCAGCTTCCTTACAGCCAATCATTTCTGTGCAGTGCGGGGTTTTTGGAGACATAACATGAAGTCTTGATCAAGTCTTCTTACCCACTTCACATGGAAGGCGTGAACTAAGCTTATCTTCAGCCTTTTCAGTCAAGTACAGCTACCGATCATGGTGGCACATGAGATGCACAGGCTACACAGCACCTCTAAGTTCACTCCTTACGCTCACGTCTTGGATATGAGCCATCAGAGTCCAACGTATGTTAATTTGAATTTTCCTGTGTCTCTACCTCGAAGTAGTGAGTCAATGTGGTCTTTTAAGCATGAAATTTCTCAAGAGGATGCTGTAGCTGAGAGGGGCTGTGCAGTGGAAGACAGCCTAAGAAAAGAGTAATCAAATTACATTTTCTCTTGCACTTAACATCCTCTATGCAAGGGTGGGGAAATACAGATGAAACGGAGAACAACCACAGTCCGGCTACACAGAATATGATGTAGAAGGAGCTGTGGGGTGGGGTGGATGTCCCCTTGGCCAAGATGTCATGTGGGGAAGATGTCACTGACAGAGGACAGAACGGAGCCATCTGAAGCATGGGCCCCATGGGGTCTTAACCTGGACACTGGTAGCTGAGGTTCAAGTGCAGCACAGGATAAGAGCAGAAGCTCCTCCCCTTGTGTTCTTGGCAGTGGAGTAATGGAAACTATAGACGTGGAGTGCCAAACTCACTTCCTATCCCACTTCCCCAGCATGGCAGGTACTGTACTGGTTCCGACTGCCCTGATTATCTTCTCTCAGCCTGGGCTGATTCTGTAGCCAGCCAGAAGCATGTTATCCATGTTAACCATAAACTATTCCAAAAATTTCAAGGAAATTGTGGTTGCCTTGGTTCCTGACACTCCTCTCATATCCTTCCAACTTATATAAAAATATTTCAATACGTGTGCTTGTCTTGCCTGCACTTTTTAAATTATCACTATATTAGGCAAAGACTATAATCCCCGCCACACTTCCTCCAATTCCAATACCAGAAAACTTTGGCCAGTATCTTCATATTCACAGTGAATAAAGAAAATCGGTCTCTAATTTAAATATGCTTGATCTTCTGTGGGGAGCAAAGTAATCACAGCTTTGTCATGCCCTGGTTTGGTTCAGTGGGTGTAAAAACATGTTCAGATAAAATCAGGATAGACCTAAATTTCCCCCTGTCCTTCAAACTAAACCCAAGCAAAGAGTTGTTCTGGTTAATAACCTCCTTGGCTTAGAACTAAGCTTGCCCAAGATTTTCTCTACTGGAGATG